GATGGATTGATGGATGGATGGATGGATTGATGGATGGATGGATGGATTGATGGATGGACAGATGGATGGATGGATTGATGGATGGATGGATGGATGGACAGATGGATGGATGGATGGATGGATGGACAGATGGATGGATGGATGGACAGATGGATGGATAGATGGATGGATGGATGGATGGATGGATGGATTGACGAACGGATGGATGGCACCATGCCGTCCAGGCACAATGAAGCTGTTTTGACCATTAAAGTGCATTTATTAAGGAAAAGTTAACTGAGACACACCTTTGCTATAATGTCGAGCAAACAAATAATTGTTTTTAAGTGTTAATCTTGTTAAATTTCAAAGAACTGCAACAGTGAGTCCTCCCGTGTGCGCTCGCTTCACTCAGCTGGTGCAGGTGGAGGAATGCTGGAGAGCTAGCGGCTCAGACCGCGATGGATGGATGGATGGATGGATGGATGAATGGATGGATGGATGGATGGATGGATGGTGCCGTCCAGGTGAAATGAAGCTGTTTTGACCGTTAAAGAAACGCATAATAAATGCGACTTACATGCCGAAGTGGCTTATCTGTTTTTTCCTCTTCATGACGCTGTTTTTGACTGATGCAACTTATACTCCAGAAAATACGGTACCGGTAACCCTGCTAAAAATTCATAGAAACACACATCTTACAAATACAACTAGTGTGTGTATATATATTTGTGTTGGTGTGTTTGTTTAAGTGTTAAAGCTGTTAATAAATGTTGTGTGTTTGTCTTGCAGAGGGTGACCGATGGGGTCCAGAGGACCCAGGTTCGGGGGCTGGGCTTCGATGCCACCTGTTCTCTTGTGGTTCTGGACAGGAACTTTCAGCCGGTGTCGGTCACTCAGGATGGTGCGTGTTGTGCGTTAAATGTTTCTCTTCGTTTGTCAAACATGAGTCTGCTGCATGACATCAGACCTTTATCATGTCCTCTGTGGTTGAAGGTGCAATTTATGGTTCTCTATGTTCAGTAAAGGAGAGCAGAGGTGAGAGCAACACTGGAGCGACTTGATAAATGAAGTTACGGACCGAATACATCTCTTTACTTTCAGTTTCAAAACTCAGTGACTCACTAAACAGGAAGTGCTTTCCCCTTTTTAGCCATCAGCTCCAACATCTGACTTCTGGTGTTGTTTCTTTTTACAGCCACTAAGAAGAACCTGAACAGAACCACTAAACAGAACTAACAGGGCAACCCATCTGAACACAGAACATGGAAAATGTCCACCCATTTCTGTCCCAAGATTGCCCAGAAGGCCTTGCGGCTCACCCAGTTGCTTGCATTCAAGTACAGAATCAGAATAAGCTTAGAGAGAGATTATGCTCGTACAGTCGTCTGAAAGATGGACAGAGTGCACGTTGCTGCTGCTCCTAAGAGCGCGGCCCTCTTATTCTTTTAGATAGGAAAAGGGGAAAAGGCCATGAGGAGAGGATAGTGGTATTACAAAAAAAAAAGATTACAACAAGTAATTTCACTAATTCTGACTAAAATTTAACAGTAACCCACAGAACTGACTGTTTCTGTAAAACTTCTTCAAGTAACAAAACAAAAATACTGTTTTAATATTGAATGTAATCACTTTAAATCTACAAACCGGATCCCAAAAAAGTTGGGACACTAAACAAATTGTGAATAAAAACTGAATGCAATGATGTGGAGGTGCCAACATCTAATATTTTCTTCAGAATAGAACACAAATCACAGATCAAAAGTTTAAATTGAGAGAATGTATCATTTTAAGGGGAAAATCTGTTGTTTCCAAATTTCATGGCGTCAACAAATCCCAAAAAAGTTGGGACAAGTCCATTTTTACCACTGTGTGGCATCCCCCCTTCTTCTTACAACACTCAACAGACGTCTGGGGACAGAGGAGACCAGTTTCTCAAGTTTAGAAATAGGAATGCTCTCCCATTCATGTCTAATACAGGCCTCTAACTGTTCAATCGTCTTGGGCCTTCTTTGTCACACCTTCCTCTTTATGATGCGCCAAATGTTCTCTATAGGTGAAAGATCTGGACTGCAGGCTGGCCATTTCAGTACCCGGATCCTTCTCCTACATAGCCATGATGTTGTGATTGCTGCAGAATGTGGTCTGGCATTATCGTGTTGAAAAATGCAGGGTCTTCCCTGAAAGAGATGACGTCTAGATGGGAGCATATGTTGTTTTAGAACCTGAACATAGTTCTCTGCATTAATGGTGCCTTTCCAGACATGCAAGCTGCCCATGCCACAAGCGCTCATGCAACACCATACCATCAGTGATGCAGGCTTCTGAATGGAGCGTTGATAACAACTTGGGCTATCCTTGTCCTCTCTGGTCTGGATGACATGGCGTCCCAGTGTTCCATAAAGAACTTCAAATCGTGACTCATCTGACCACAGAACAGTCTTCCATTTTGCTAGACTCGATTTTAAATGACCCCTGACCTAGTGCAAACGTCTGAGCTTGTGGAGCTTGCTTAGAAATGGCTTCCTCTTTGCACTGTAGAGTTTCAGCTGGCAACGGCGGATGGCACGGTGGATTGTGTTCACTGACAATGCTTTCTGGAAGTATTCCTGAGCCCATTCTGTTATTTCCTTGACAGTGGCATTCCTGTTTGAGGTGCAGTGACGTTTAAGGGCCCGGAGATCACGAGCATCCAGTAGAGTTTTACGACCTTGACCCTTACGCACAGCGATTGTTCCAGATTCTCTGAATCTTTGGATGATGTTATGCACGGTTGATGATGATAACTTAAAAGTCTTTGCTATTTTACGCTGGGTAACACCATTCTGGTATTGCTGCACTATCTTTCTGAGCAACAATGGTGGAATTGGTGATCCTCTTACCATCTTGGCTTCTGAGAGACACTGACACTCTGAGAAGCTCTTTTTATACCCAATCATGTTGTCAATTGACCTAATTAGTGTTAATTGGTCTTCCAGCTGTTCGTTATTTGCTCAATTTCCTTTTTCCAGCCACTTATTGCTACTTGTCCCAACTGTTTTGGGATTTGTTGACACTGTGAAATTTTGAATCAACATATTTTTACTTTAAAATGTTACATTTACTCAGATTAAACTTTTGATCTGTCATCTATGTTATATTACAAATAAAATATTGACATTTGCCATCTCCACATCATTGCATTCAGTTTTTATTCACAATTTGTTTAGTGTCCCAACTTTTTTGGAATCTGGTTTGTACAAGGAATATTTAACTTTAAAAACACTAGTTTTAAACTTGAAAGTAGAGTGTGGAATTTTGAATTTACATGTTGGAATTGAATGCATCACAAATCTTCATATGATCAAAAAAAAAAAAAAAAACACAACCCAGGGTCTTCCTGAAGGCTCTCACCCACTCTACATCAGCATTATGACTGGACAGTTCTCCAGTTGCTTATTTAACAAACCCATTCTTCAAAGACTGACGGAGCTCAGCATTCTCTCCTGACAGTGAAGTCCTAACTTTCAAATATGAACTGAAAAGTTTTTTGCTCAATTTCAAAGTCGTTTACAGAAAATAACAGATAGTAGCAAAAAAGATGGCGGCGCACGGACGAGCAGCGGCTTCTCAGACTCCCAGGGGAAAAGCCAGTTTTTTTGCGCTAACATCAGATCTGAGCCCGACCTAGCTCGCTTTAAGCTGAGCAGAACTTATTAGCATAAGAAACGGTTTGGCATCTAAAACAGCAGTGACATATTTAACTCCTCCCTCACCTGGCAACAGTTCCCACCTGCCTGAAGACTGCCACCATCATCCCAGTTCCTAAGAGCTCTACAGTGACTGGTCTGAATGACTACCAGCCAGTAGCCCTAACCCCGATAGTCGCTAAATGCTTTGAAAAACTGGTCATGATCCACATCAAAACAACCATCAACATCAACAAGGACCCTCATCAGTATGCAGATCGTGAGAACCGATCAACAGAGGATGCCATCTCCTCTGTGGTCCACACTGCTCTAACCCACCTGGAGCAGAAGGACTCCTATGTCCGTATGCTCTTTGTGGACTTCACATCTGCCTTCAACACCATGATCCCCCAAACCCTGTTGGACAAACTATTCACACCAGGAATAAGCCCCTCCATTTGCAACTGAGTCCTAGACTTCTTAACAAACAGACCACAGTCAGTGAGGATCCACAACTTCTCTTCCTCCACCATAACCCTCAGCACTGGTTCCCCTCAGGGATGTGTGCTGAGCCCTTTCCTGTTCATGTATGATGGTGCAGCTACCCTTCCAGGCTGTCACATTGTCAAGTTTTCAGATGATACAGCGGTGGTGGGATGCATCACAAACAATGATGAGTCCAGCTACAGGCAGGAGGTGGAACACCTGGAGAGCTGGTACAGGAAGAACTTTCACATCAATGTAAAGAAGATGAAGGAGATTGTCATGGACTTCAGAAGGAACAACCCCCACCCCCCACCCCCGATCATAGGAGGATCTAAGTATTTGGGTGTACACATGAATGACAACCTCAGCTGGGGCAACAACACCACCAGCCTGATCAAGAAAGGTCATCAGAGACTCTACTTCCTCAGACGGCTGAGACGAGCTGGACTGGGAAGCTCAGTCCTCACCTCCTTCTACAGGTGTGCAGTGGAGAGCATCCTGTGCTCCAGCATCAACGTGTGGCATGGAGGCTGCACAGCTGCAGAAAGAAAAGCTTTGCAGAGAGTGGTGAAGGCTGCACAGAAGTCTGTTGGAGTCAGTCTCCCAACATCACAGACATCTACACCTCCAGATGCATGAAGAGCGCCACCTGCATCATGAAGGACCCCACTCACCCAGCACACACACTTTTTGCCCCGCTCCCCTGAGGAAGGAGGTTGAGGAGCATTAAGTGTAGAACCACTAGACTGAGGAACAGCTTCTACCCTGAAGCTGTTAGACTCATGAATCTCTAACCAGGATAATCACTGTAATGCCACTTTAATTGATGATATGTGACTTTATCCATGCTGCTGTGTTCATGCCCATCTGCTCACAACACACTCATGTTCAGGCTGCTGTTTATTAAGATAAGATATAACTTTATTGATCATGCAGGAAATTGTTGTGCCAGAGTTTCAGTACAAGTGAATATACCCAAGGAATCACACAAGATATAAAAATAACAGAGAATATAAAATACCAACAATTAAGTTTTAAAACCGGTGCAGACAGAAACATTAAAGTGTTTATTGTAGTACAGGATTAATTTTATGTGTAGAAAGAGGGAGGAGTTGAAAAGTTTGAAGGACTTCCTGTGTTGTTCTGTGGAGCACCTCGATGGTCTCAGTCTACGACTGAAGGTGCTGCAGTAAGAGTCCAGGGTGTCATGCAGGGGGTGTGACGTGTCGTTCAGGATCTGGAGCAGTTTCCTCAACATCCTCTGCTCAGACACCTCTGTCAGAAACTGCAGGTCCACTCCCAGAACTGAACCAGCTCTCCTGATGAGTTTATTGAGTCTGTTGGCATCAACTTTCTTCACCTGCTGCTCCAGCACACCACAGCTAGAAGATGCTGGAGACCACCGAGTGGTAAAACATCTGCAGCATGGTCCTGCAGAGACCACAGAGTAGTAAAACATCTGCAGCATGGTCCTGCAGAGACCACCGAGTAGTAACACATCTGCAGCATGGTCCTGCAGAGACCACCGAGTAGTAAAACATCTGCAGCAATGGTCCTGCAGAGAACACCGAGTAGTAAAACATCTGCAGCATGGTCCTGCAGAGACCACCGAGTA